CGCTAGTCAGTTGCAGATATCATCTTTCTCAGCCAAGGATGTCAGTCGCTGCCATCGAATGGGTCGATTCACTAACAATGATCACCCACGACCCCTTGTAGTGAAGTTATGTGACCTTGACATGCGAAACAAGATTTGGTTTGCCAAAACAAAATTGAAAGGGTCCCGTATTACTCTATCCGAGTTCCTGACAAAAGGCAGGCATGACACTTTTATGGCTGCGCGCGACAAATTTGGTGTGAATAAGTGCTTCACAAGGATGGGGTTTGTTTTCGTCATTGGTGGTGATGGAAAGCGTCACCGTATCAGCTCCCTTACTGAGTTAAACAAAATCCCAGTTCCAGTAGTGGTGACCCCGGAATCGCCGAAGCCTGTTGGGCAAACATCCAGCTGTACCAGCTCACAAACTGAGGTAAATAAAGTCGCAGCTCCAAGTACAGGGAAGGCTGAATCACCGAAGCCTGTTGCCCAAATCTCCACCAGGGGCAAGCGTACGGTTACTGCATCAGTTAAAAAGTAGCTTTAAGTGATTTTATTGTGTTTTATGTTATCGTGTGTTCGAGCCGCTTTTTGTTCCGTGTTTGTACTCGTTCTGTGGATCATCTTATTATACTGTTTCCTTGCACTTCAATTTGTATCCATATATTAAAACTTATTTTGTTCATCACCATTCGATTAATCATAAATTGAAGGTAAATTAAATTTGTAAACTTCTGCGTATTGTGACAGACTGACTGACATTGACATATCGTTTCACCTTTTCTCACGTCAAATTATTTATAAATTTTTCATAACGTAGGCATAAGTTTTAATGTTTCATACAGCCACGTAATACTTTTTATTTTTTATGTCAATTTATTTGACTTAGATCCACAGACTTAAAAGTTGCAAACTGAAAATTACTTTACTGAAATTATTTTGTATATTGGTACCATACATAACTTCATTTACCGTGCTATGTTATCCACTCAACCGGCAGGTGGAGCATATTAAGTATTTAGTGCTTATTTTGTTCCAACTGTTACTTAGTTTTTAACTTTTTATTATCTATTTATTATTATATATTGTATTTATTTTGTGTATGACTAGTTCAGAAAAAGATAGCGATGACTCGTTTCAGACCTTGTCACCGGTTAGTGACTGCACAGATGCTAGTTTTGTTAGTATGCCTTCCCTTTCCGACTGCATCGATGGTGAGTTTTCTGATGTTCCTAAAAACTTTAACGTGGTTCACATTAATGCGCAAAGTATTCCGGCTCATTTTACTGATATGCTAGCGTCTCTCAACCACAAAAACCTTCATGCTGTTTTAGTCTCCGAATCCTGGCTTAAGCCTTCTCTGCCCTCTTCATTCTATACTTTACCTGGTTTCCGTTTGATACGTAATGATCGTATTGGTTCTCGAGGTGGTGGAGTTGCAATTTACTTACGTACTCATATTCCCTTTACTATAATTAGCTCCTCCACACAGCCTCCTCCAGCGAATGCTGGCGAACATCTACTACTCGAGGTTCTCCTGTCACATACCAAAGTCCTTCTCGGAGTCTATTACAGCCCCTCTTTAAATGTTAACTTCTTCAGTTCTTTTGAGCAGCTCTTAGGAGATGTTGTCCCATCTTATAGCCATTCATTGATAATGGGTGATTTCAATACCTGTCTTCTGAAAAATGATTTCCGTTCTGCCTCCCTTAATTCTGTTATTAGCTCTTGTAATCTTCATATTCTTCCACTTAATGCCACTCATCATTTCCCAAACTCATCTCCTTCACTTCTTGACTTAATTATAGTCTCTTCTCCTCATCTTGTCATGAAGCATGGTCAATGTTCGGCTGATGCCTTTTCATACCATGACTTAATTTTCTTATCCTACAAAATTCGTCCTCCCAAAATTAAACCCAAAGTCATTCTTCAGCGTAATTTTGGTGGTATGGATAGGGAAGCGTTTCTTATTGACGCTCAAAATACTGATTGGTCGCCGGTAACTGATGCGGAGTCTGTGGACGAGCAAGTTGAGACCTTTAATTATATCATTACTCAACTTTACGACAAGCACGCCCCTTTTCGTCTCATCAAGCTTAAACATGTTCCTGCGCCCTGGCTTACCCCAGATATTAAAGAACTTATGCACAAAAAGGATGTTGCTAAATGCAAATACAAACGCCGTTCAACAGATGCAAACAAGGTTAACTATGCTAGAGCTCGTAATCACTGCAATTTGGTGTGTAGGGATGCCTTACGTCGCCATATTCATGTTTCCGTCGATAATAAAGATCCAGCAAAAGTCTGGAATTTCCTCAGGTCTCTTGGAATTGGTAAGTCCCGACAAGAATCTATTCCTAGTAGCATTAACGTTGATTCACTCAACCTTCATTTCTCTTCATGTTCTAGTCTCAGTGATTCTAACAGGACTAATACTTAAAAGTTTCTTTCTTCGTTACCAGTTCCTGACTACTCTCCTTTTGTCTTTACTCAATTCACTGAATGTGACGTTAAGAAAGGTATGCTTTCTATCTCCTCCAATGCGGTGGGGAACGATGGCATTAGTCGCAACATGTTGGTACCAATCCTAGATATCATTCTTCCTATCCTTACTTTCCTATTTAACAGTTCGATTTTCAATGCTGTCTTTCCATCAGTTTGGAAGCAAGCTCAAATTATCCCACTCCCTAAAAAATCGAGCCCCCAATCCACCGCCGATTTTCGCCCCATCTCTATCCTACCCTTCCTATCTAAGGTCCTTGAACGCCTCGTCCACAACCAATTTAATATGTTCCTATCTCGCCACAACCTTTTTAATCCTTTCCAATCTGGTTTCCGTCCCGGCCATAGTACTACGACTACCTTGCTCAAAGTGACAGATGACATACGCCTTGGGATGGATAATGGTCTCCTCACGGTATTAACATTGTTGGACTTCAGCAATGCTTTTAACACCGTCAATTTTGACGTTCTTTTGGCATTGCTGCGCTCACTTAACGTATCTCCATCAGTAATTGAGTGGTTTCACAGTTATCTGTATGGGCGCAGGCAGCGCGTTTGCCTTGAGGAGAAATTTTCTTCTTGGAGCGACACGACTGCTGGCGTTCCGCAAGGCGGCGTCTTATCTCCTCTTCTTTTCGCTGTTTTAATCAACTCCGTCTCTAATAATATTTCTTCTTCCTACCACCTATATGCAGATGACCTCCAAATCTATCGCCAAGCATCACTTCGTCAACTTGGAGATGCGGTACGAGCCACTAATAGCGATCTACATACTATATCAGAGTGGAGCAAATCCTTTGGATTGCAACTGAATCCCTCTAAAACTACTAGCATAATAGTAGGTAGTTCTAGGATGATAGATAGAGTAGAATGGCAGTCTTTACCCAATATCCAGCTGGCTGGTGAAATTGTCCCTTTTAGCGCATCGGTAAAAAACCTGGGGTTGACTTTCGATAATTGTTTGAGCTGGGGTCCACAGATGCAAGTGGTCAGCCGCAAATTGTTTGCTTCAGCAGCTTCGCTTAGAAGACTACGTAATTTCCTACCCATCACTACTAAAATTACACTAGCACAGTCGTTGTTGCTTCCCATTCTTGATTATGCTGACGTCTGCTATCTTGATCTTACCGAGGACCAGCTAAATAAGCTTGAGCGACTTCAAAACTTTTGCATCCGCTTCATATTTGGCTTGCGCAAATATGATCACGTTTCTCAATTTCGTTCGCAACTCAAGTGGCTACCTATTCGTCTTCGCCGGAATGCTCATATTCTTGCTCTCCTTTACAATATATTGTTTAATCCTAAGACCCCGCGCTATCTCCAGGAATGTTTTAATTTCCTTCACACTTCTAACACGTTATCCCTTAGGTCATCAGAAAATCTTACTCTCATGACTCCTGTACATGCTACAACATTTTGTAACCGTTCGTTTGCAGTGCGTGCCGTACATTTGTGGAATTCTCTCCCAGTTACCATACGACGTGCAGAATCTATCCACGCTTTTAAAAACCTCGTAAAGTCCCATTATTTGTCCTTATAACTTTTGATGTTAATCTTATTTGTGACTACTACCAACTGAACTAGATTTGTTTATTTATGTGTATGTATGTATTTATTTAATATATTTAATATATATTTATATTTATGTATGTATATAATTGTATATATTATCACCTATATCACTCAAGTGATTTACACCGCCGTCTCTCCCACTTCCTTCTAGTCCTCTCCATCCAAAGGTTGTCTGGAAGAGATCGCTCTAAGCGATAAGGCCGCCCATTGTTACACTAGTTTTAATTGGTTATGTACTAAATTTAATGTTATATGTGGTGTACAATAAAGTGTTTTGTATTGTATTGTATTGTAAATGACCTTAATTTAAGTAAATATGTTGTAGTTAGTATGGGTAGTTATGGGTAGTCATGCTCTCATAATAGTCTCTTCGGCGGTGTCGTGTGAGGCGGGTCGTTACGTTCCCTAAAATATGGTTGAGCGAAGCGATGGTTGGTTCATGCGTCATGCTCGTGAACGGGTGCTGCCAGCGGAGATGAGTCTGCCCTTACTTCCTTAATATTGAATTTAATGTTTAATCACACTTAATATAAATAACACTATGTGTATTTATACTGTATGACAGAGCAATCAAAATGCAGGTAAACAATTAATGTATATTTAATCATTATGTAATGAAAGGTGAGTTCATGAATCATCTCTGAAGTCATTTTTCAATTTGACGACTGTAAATAATAAAACAGGGAGAAAAAAACAGCCCTTGCTGAGTTTCTTGCCTGTTCTTCTCAGTACAAGGTCTCCCGCCGTAGATTTACTAACCAATGGCGTAGCTTCTAGACATTCATATGTGCTTGAAACAGCCTAAACTGAATAAATGATTTTGATTATGATTATAGTTATAATAGTTATTTTCTTTAGATATAAACATTTCGTAGCTAAATGCTTAAAATAAAAATATATTAAACGGCATATTCGCTTAAAAATTTAATGATATATACTTGGTACAGGTCTTACTGCGAGCGAGTGTTTCGCGACTGCAGACTACAGACCTGTTATGTGCAGTCGGCAGCATACCCCGGCGTGTACCCGAGAAACCTACATTGCAGGTAATAATTCCACAAATTCATGTGCATTGTATGGAAGAAACTCACAGTTAGAAACGTGCTCAGCCTTCTAGGTGTAATGGAGAGTTTATCGTGTTCTAGGATGAATTTTCGATAGTAACTTGTATGGCAATATTTTAACTTTACAAATTCTATTGTAGTTTATATACAAGCTGCAGTATTAGAATTTCTGGTTTTATTTAAACACTTGTCTGTTTAAAACACGGTCAAAATTTTATCAAATAGGTTTTAATTATGAACTGATTTCTTAGTGTCGCCGCACACGGGCCACCGACCACAACCACAAAACGCCGCCACCGGCATATTTCTTGTAGTTTTCATACATTTTCATGACGACCTCCGTGGCCGAGTGGTTTGTACGCCGGATTTCATGGTGTCGCCGACTCGAGAGGTCCCGGGTTCGAATCCCGGTGGGGGCAGATGTTTGTGTGATGAATACGAGCATTTGTACTCCAAGTCATGGATGTTTAATATGTATTTCTTTATAAATATTGATAAAAACGTAGGAAAAAGCTGAAATAAAACTCTCTTCTTCGTGACAATGACGTATATAATGAAAAGTAACAAAATACAACCATAAAAACCATAGAAAAATAGAGCTATCAAAAATACATAAATACTATAAAAAAGGTCGACTTAGCGTAGTCAACATGGTCGCCCCCGTGTGGCAACACCAAAATAAGGGAGTGACTACGCTATGTCAACAAAACTAACTTCCGCGTTGGCCTACGTAAGGTACCAGACTCAGTGGCAACCTCGGCAACACGTACTATGCTATCGCGGCCTGGGAATAACGCAACCACCCGACCACGAGGCCAGACTCCTCGAGGTAAATTGCCATCTGCAACTAGTACCAAATCCCCGATTTTAACTGTACGTGTCCCCGCAGTTGTCCCTGAAGGTCGAGGCCTCAAATCCGGAAGGTACTCTTTCACCCAGCGCGACCAGAAATGGTCTGCCAAACGCAGCCCTTTCTTCCACTTGACTCGGCGTACCAAATCCGCGTCATCCGTTGCCGTTAGAACGTTGTAGGGAGACGACGTACCCAATATAAAATGCGAGGGGGTGATGGCTTCCTCCACCTCGGGGTCCACAGACACGTGCGTGAGGGGTCGGGAGTTGACGATGGCCTCAGCTTCCAGAAGTAGCGTGTTGAAAACTTCCTCACATGGAGAGCGCTCCTTCAACGTGGCAGAAAGAGCCGTCTTAATACTTCGCACGAGTCGCTCCCAACATCCGCCCATGAATGGAGCTGAAGGGGGAATAAACTTCCACTTTATTTGTTTATTACATGCATACTCCACTACCGGCGCGCCATACAACCTTTGAAGTTCTCGACTGACCCCCACAAACGCCGTCCCATTGTCTGATATATAGTTGTTGGTGTTCCACGGCGGGCGATGAACCGGCGAATGCACATAATGGCCGAGTCAGTACTAAGGCTGGCAGCCACCTCCAAATGGACGGCGCGCACCGTGAGGCAGGTAAACAATGCCACATACCGCTTCTCTGTTCGCCGTCCTATGGAAACTTGAAGAGGTCCAAAATAATCTAGACCTGTGTGAGTAAACGGCCTCTCGTGGTGGGCCAGCCGTTCTGATGGTAAATCGCCAGTTAAAGGTGTGGTTGGTAGGGCCTTCCGAATTTTGCACAGACGGCAGTCATTGGCCACTCTCTTCACTGCCGGTCGCAGGCCAATGATGTGATATTTTTGGCGCAACTCATTCACGACGGTCTCGTTGTTTGAATGAGCCATGAGCTGGTGAACGGAAGCAATGAGCAGTCGCGCGATCCTGTGTTTTCCATCAAGCACAACTGGGTTTATAGAGGTGGAGACGTTCTCAACTCTTGAAATTCTTCCGGAAAGTCGTAGCGTGTGATCCTCGTCAATATACAACGCTAGACGCCTTAAGCGACTAGTTTTAGGTAACACCTGGCCGCGCTGGGTAAGGGTGTACTCATACACGAAAGAATCTAACTGAGAACGAAGGAGGAGTTGACGCTCGGCCTCCATTAAGTGACGTGAAGTTAAAGAAGTCTCTGTATTAACGTTTTGACGCGAGGATGCCAGAAGGGCTTTAAACCGCTCCACGCATAGCAAAACTCGCGCAGTAGCCCGTAGCAAACGAAGCCACCGACTGAAACGAGTGGCGTCAGCAACCACCGGTGAAGGTAGTGTTCGCGAAACAATTGCCCCTACCGCCTCCAAAACAGGGACCATAGCGCTTCGTTTAAGCTCCTCGAGCATTGGAGGCGGTTGAGTGGAAGGTTCCTGTGGCCAGTCGGTTAAGGGTAACGACAGAAATGATGGCCCCAGAAACCATCGAGAGGAAATTCGGAATTGGTGATCGACGCGTGTAGCGTCGTCCGCTACATTCAAACCAGACGGAACGTACCGCCAACAGGAACTGCTAGTCAACTCTGTAATCTCGCCTACCCGATGAGCAACAAATGGTTTGAATGAGCGGGCATCGCTTCGCAGCCATCGAAGAACCGTCATACTATCTGACCAGAAAAATAATTTTGAAGGCTGTCGCCTGTGAGCTTCGACAATATACTGGGCAAAACGCGCGGCCATGAGCGCGGCCTGAAGCTCCAACTGAGGTATTGAAACTGGCTTTAACGGTGCCAGCCGTGCTTTTCCGCCAATGAGACTGAGCATCACCTTCCTACCAGCGCACACAAATCTAAAATATGCTACACAAGCATAAGCAACTTCGCTTGCGTCGGCAAAAATGTGAAGCTCAATCTCCTTAGCAACATTATGAGCCAAATAATGCCTGGGGATCGAACACGTAAATAAAGCTGAAAGTTCTTTGTACCAAAGAGTCCACTTATTAACCAAAGAGAAAGGTAGCTGTTGGTCCCAGTGTAATCCTAGTTTCCAGGTCTGTTGAAATAACAAACGTCCGCGAATTATAATTGGAGTAAGCAGACCTAGTGGATCATATACGCTCATTAAATACGAAAGAACAGACCGCTTTGTTAAAATTGTAGGCAAATCACCTAAATTACCCCTTGAAAAACACAGAGTGTCATCCCTGATGTTCCAGTTCACGCCAAGTATTCGAACAGCCACTGAGGACATGTTTGTGAGGCGCAACTCTGGCAAAATAGATGCAAGCGCCGGCTCAGAGTTAGACACCCAGTCGCGCATCTGCAAAGAAGCTTGCGATAAGACATGAACTATGTCACGCGCCAGGTTTGCTGCCTCATCCGGTGTATCAACACTACCTAAGTAGTCGTCCATATATGTATCATTAATGATGGCAGTAGCGGCCGCCGGATGCGTGTGACAATATTCCTGGGCATTACGATTTTTCAAATAAAGAGCCGTAAAGGGACTTGACGTGGCACCAAAAATCATGGATGACATCCTGTACTCGCGAATCGGCTCGGAGGTGTCGTCGCGCCACAAAAACCTCTGCGCATCCCGATCTTCTACCCGAATTTTCGTCTGCGGGAACATTTCCCGAATGTCAGCATTGAGAGCTATTCGACCTTCTCTAAAACGCATTAGTAAAGCCAACAAAGGTTGTAGAAGATCAGGCCCGGAGAGCAACATAGAATTTAAGCTCACACCGTGAACCTGCGCGGCTGCATCATATACCACCCTTAACTTCAATTTCTGGGGGTGAACTACACCGAAGTGCGGCAAATACCAGCTTACGGCTCCGCTAGGGGATGGAGGACACACTTCGGCGTAGTCTTTTCTTATAGTACCTTGAACGATACTCTTGTAAGATGCTGCATACGCAGGGTCACGTCCAAACTTATTCTCCAAGCTACGAAACCGAGACAGGGCCAAAGGACGACTGTCGGGAACCTTGCTGATATTAGCGCGCCAAACCAAACCCGTTTCGAACCTACCCGATGGCAGACGTCGCGTTGTCTCATCTAAAATCTGAAGCGCCCGCTTATCGCTATCTGACATATATTGCTTCTTTACTACGCCGATAGAATCCATGCGAAAGTATTCTTTCAGTTGAGCGTCAAGTGACTCATGTTCAGGAGCAGTAACAGCACGGCAATGGTTAACATAACAATTTTGCGAAAAACTTGACTTAACTTTGCCAAACAAAACCCACCCGAGGGGGGTCAAAGTAGCCACTGGTTGGGTGCGAGTACCGCGACGTACCTCTTGAGGTAATAAAAGGTGCCAATTATCTACGCCAATCAAAAGTGATGGTTTAGCGTCGTCATAGCTCAGAAGTTCGGCAATGTCGGAGATGTAATCTAAAGCCTGAATATCGTAGAGTTTGACGGACTGTGGCGCAATATCCAAGCTGGGGACAGTGCGAACATTTTTGAGCTCAAAGAACTCAGAGTAATGACGACCCTTAATCTTAAAACTAACGCGATCTACTGTCATCGTTCTGGTCATCCCCCCTATGCCCTCAATGGTCATAAGGCCACTTTGTCCTTCAGCGCCAATATTTTTGGCGAGAGATGAGTCCATCAACGTAGCGGTGGAGCCGTCATCTAATAATGCGTAAGCATCAACAGCACCTCTTGGGCCAGAGACGGTCACCGCAATCATCTTGAGGAACGGGCGGGAAGATGAATGAGTGCTACTATGAGCTACAGTTTCTGAAGCAGTGTTATCAGAAATAACAGGGCCCTCGGGCGTTGACAGTACACAAGAAACTGTGGCACATTCAGAAGCATCTCTATGAAGAATGGAATGATGTGTGTATTTTTTCGTACATGCATTATGCTTGCATGAAAATTTTCTACAACGAGCATATGCATGACCTCCCTTTCGTAGGCATTTATGGCAAACCTTCATTGACTGTACCCATTCCCACTTTTTATCAATTGTAAGAATTTGGAATTGTTTACACCCTAGAACGAAATGACCGGACTTTTCGCAAAATAAACAATCCTCTTTGAATGATTTCGGGTTGTCGTTTGCTACGGATGCCGCCGAAAAAGAAGTTTCGTTTTGACAAACGAAATGAACATTTTGACGTTTGTCAACG